ACACAATTCACTAGTACAAAACTAGTGTCTACATTCAACTTATCAGCAAAAGATTTCATATTACTCCTTTTAACTGATACATTTATCAAGCCACTTCACTCCAAGAATCCAATTTTTAAAATGTTTTTATCATTTATTTATTTGGTACAGGGTCTTGTTACACGTAGCTTGGACTCACAGTGATCCTCCTATCTCAGCCTCCCCAGATTTGGGATTAGAGTTGTGTGCCAATACGCTCTGTTTCAATGGCCAGCTCAGCATGGAGCTGGCTCAGCTTGGGCCTGTCACAGCATGTGGTACCAGAGATCAAACCTGGGTCCTTGCACTTGCAAGGCAGGTACTTAGACCACCAAGCTATCTCCCTGGCCCAAAAATCCATTTCTTTTACCATAATTATTCATTCATCAACAGAGAAAAATTTAAGGGAACCACTTATTTTATGAGAACCTATTAAAGTCATTAAAAATGCACTTTAATCCTAACAAGTCATAATCACTTAACATATTCAGATAACTTAGAACACTTATTACTTATATTTAATTCAGTACAACTACTATATTAAAAATAAACATCCTGTTAATTATTGAAATGGTCCTACCAATTTGATTTGAAACTGTCTCATTGCTATTTGTCTCTCAATAAAATTATGGAAAAAAATTAAAAATAAAATAAACATCTTTTAGATCTTATTTTACAAGAAAAAATACTCCCTTCTACTAATAATATAATCAAACTATCAATAAACTTAAGAATCTTATCAAACTGTTGGACAATTAATGTCCAAAAGAAGTTGAGCATTAACATACTGATCTAACATTATTTAAGTTTTATAGCAGAGGCTCTACATTTTGCTTGTATGGTTTTATACATTAGAATCACCAGGGTATATTTTTTTAAAAAACAGTCTCAATACCAGCTATCAATACTAATACCTGTATTTCGCCCTCCTCTCTCAGTTGGTCTGATATGGAGGTCAAGTACCAATGTTTGAGATGTTTTTTTTTTTTTTTTTTTTCATGACTCTTAGACAAGTTAAAGAGGAGGTAGCTATGGGAACCACTTATTTAAGATTAAAAAGACAACGTGGTCTCTGGCACCAAACACTAAGTCTACTAAAATCTGGGAAAATCAGAACGAATAAAGTAGAGCAAAAAAGATAATATTCCAAAAATAACCCAAACCTACCAAATATTTTTCCTGTTAAGAAGTTTATAAGGGGTGGGGAGATGGCTCAGTAGAATAAGCACTTCCCTAGCAAGCGCAAGGGCTTGAGTTCAATCCCTGGTTCCGCCAAAAAAAAAAAAACCCAAAAAACAGTTTATAATTTGAGTTTTACCTTGGACTTTGCTGACAAATCTTATGTGCTATTTAATAAACAATGCCAAATAAAAGCCTAAAACTAAAATTAAATAGCAAGGATAAGTCACAGAAATGATTATCATATAAGTAAAATACCATATAAATAACAGTAGATTAATATAAAACAATGCAAATAAAGAATAACTACAGTTACTTTAATAACATTTTCTAACTTCAAACACCACTCAGGACATTTTCTAATTGTACTTTCCTATATCTTCAATTCTCCAGTGTTTCAAAAAAGAAAAATTCATGTTAATGAAGAAAAAAAGTAGGCTTTAGTATGTGTACAGAAAGTACAAAAAAAAGACCAAGTTTAACAGTAATTCCTCTGTGAAAGTAACACACATACTTCTGCATGACTATAGGCCTACAGTAATACTCATGTAACAGGTCCAAAGAAACAAATGTCCCTGGTCAATAAGATTAAAAAAGAAAAGTTTTTAACTGTAAGTATTTCTCATTTTGAGCATACTTTCTCACAATTCAGTTTGTGAAATTTTTGTTGTCTTTGAAATCCACCCATGTGATTGGCATAACACATCTTTGGGTCTGTCTGGGTATTTCTTGGAGGGCGGTGTGGCCTTGTGGTCTATGTCCGGTCCCTTGCTTCTTCCTCTCTGGCACTTCTCTTTTCTGCTTCAAGGTTGCCAGGAACTAAACTTCTTTACTTTAGCATGCCCTTCCACTATGACATTCCCACCTCCCTTGGATTTGAACCTGGGTTACAAGCCTCTCCTCATTTAAGTTGCAGATGTTAGGTATTTTATTCCAGCCATGAAAGGCTGCCACACCATTGAAAGTAACTGAAAAATATTACTGCAAATATGATCCATCATAGAGGGGAATGAATAAATACCACCATAACTTTTAAACATATCTCAGTATGTTTGATATACAAACTGAGTAAGAACTTTTAAAAATTGAAAAGAACTTTTTTAAAATTTAAAAGCTGGCACTATTTACAGGATAAAATAAAAATTGAAACAGTTATTAGTGCAAGGAAATCAGTTCAACTTCTATGTAATATTATTTTTCTTATGTTTTTATAAAAAAAAACTTAAAAGAAGAATTCTCTGAGGGACATAAGATATCTCAAGATAAAAACTTAAAAATTTTGGTAACTTTTAAGTGTGTTAAGTTAAATATTCAAAAATTAAATACATTATAATCCAAAATTCAGTGATATAAATTCAGTGGCTTAAAATGATAAAAGAGATATGATTCTGAGATACTAGGAGAAAGTACATTTTTAATTCAGAATGGTTTAAGATGAAGGATGTGATACTAAAAAAAATGGCATTTATATTTATAGATGATAATTTTATTAAATAATTTCAGCATATATATATATATATACATATATATATATATATATATATATATATATATATATAAATGTATGTCATAAAAAGAGGTCCAAGGATTTTTTACTTAAACAGAAAAATAATAAAGACATTAGAAATGAAATACAATTAAAAAAAAAGAAAGAAAGATGATAGGTATTCGACATTGGTTGATCTCATCTTATTGAAAAGGTTCTGCATGTCGACAGAAATCACCAACAGAGTGAAAAGATAAGCCACAAATTGGGAAAAAAACATCTTAAATAATAATCACTCAGATAAAAGACTTCTATCTAAAATATATAAAGAACTAAAAAACAAAAACAAAAAACAAAACAAAACAAAACAAAAAACCCCTCAGGCCCCTAAAATTCAAAGACCCAATTCAAAAATGGGCATTTGAGATGAATACATACTTCTCAGAGGAAGAAATACAATTGGTAAATAAATACATGAAAAATGTCCCACAGCTCTGGTCATTCAAGAAATGCAAATTAAAACAACACTGACATACCATCTTACCCCAGAAAGATTGGCTGTCATAAAGAAATCAACTAATAACAAATGCTGGAGAGGCTGTAGAGAAAAAGGAACCCTACTCCACTATTGGTGGGAATGTAGACTGGTACAACTACTATAGAAATCAGTGTGGAGACTCATAAAAAAATTAGGACTGGAAATCTCATTCAACCCAGCTAATCCCCTTCTAGTTCTTTTCCAAAAGAACTGAAAACATCACATTACAGTGATATATATGCACCCATGTTTATTTATAGCAGCACCATTTGTCATAGCCCAATCTTGGAAATAACCAAAATTCCATCACCTGACGAATGGATAAACAGCATGTGGTATTTTTATACAATGGAGTATTACTCAACTATAAAGAAAGACCTTTCTAGGTAAATGGATAAAACTAGAGGCTATACTCCTACGTGAAATAAGTCAGACCCACATGTGTAAATATCGGATTGTCTCCCTAATATAAGGACATGAAAGAACACATAAACTCTAAAAGATATAATAGACACAGTATGGAAAGAAACAACATAAGGAATAAACAAGGAA